AACGTAAAAAGAGTCCATCACATAGAGTCAGTGATCGGAATCAAGGTAACACCAGGTGACAGTGAGTCAAGGTGTTGCCTCAGTTAGTGAGACAATAAAGTGAAGGCACACGTGGCTCTTCGTGCAAGAGAAAAGTTTCTATTTAGTTTAAACCGCGTTTCAACTAGGTTTTCAAACGAAAATATCGAAACAACCACGGAAATCTCCGCTTAGAGTCTACTAACAACAACAATCTGCTGCACAACATTAATTTGTCGTGCAGCGTAGCGAGAAGCATCGACCAACGAAAATCGTTTCGGTGCAGCACCTACAGTATCACTCGATTCTTGGGTAAATCACCCATTGTATAATTCGGTAGTTTGGGATTCAATTTACTACAGCGCACGCATTTATATATGACATGTCGTGTTATGTTTTTTCCAACAATTGGCCAGTAGTTGTACCTTACCGCGTTTAAAGTAGCTTGCACGCCTGCATGCCAATGCTTAATATGCTCATTGTGAATCAACAATTTGGTTACATGGTCGTTATGTGGTAATAATATAGGATATTTCCGGGAGTATGCTATTTGTGCGTTTGTTAACCTCCCCCCTACTCGTATCACACCGTCAGAATCAAGAAACGGATTTAAACATATGAGTTTACCCTTTGAATTCAACGGAATGCTTTCTTTTAAATTTTGTATCTCTCGCGAAAAATGACTTTGTTGAATGACTCGGATGATTTGCAGCCGTGCATTTCTTAATTCTTCGACGGTGTATTTGCCTGCTACTTTGATTTTTCCCTTTCTGTTAGAGACTACGCGATGACAGAATGCTACGAAACGAATTAATCTATCAATTGAAGAAAATCGTTCAAACGTGTCGTTTCTTATTTTTGGGTTTACTGAGATGCCTGGAACAGCGACACTCCTTTCGGTAATTAGTAATGCTGTTTTAATCCTTTGCTCGGGAATTGCCATTTCAGTTAATTGCTTAACTTTCCAATCCGTCTCATCTTGAACTAACCACCGGGGCCCATATAACCAGTGTTTATTTTGTAAGAATTCGGAAGGAATTTGACCACGAGAAATATAGTCGGCAGGATTTTCTCCGGTAGAAATGTGCAACCAATTGTTTACATTCGTTCGTGATTGTATGTCCGCTACTCTGTTCGCAACAAATGTTTTTAAACAATGAGGAGACGCGTTAATCCAGTGTAACACGATAGTGGAGTCAGACCACATTTTAATTTTACTATACTTTATGTTTAATGATTCCGACACTGTGTAGATTAATTTGGCCAATAATTGTGCCGCACATAATTCAAGTCGAGGGACAGTAATAGTTTTTACTGGCGCTACGCGAGACTTTGCACAAATTAATTGCACCGAACAATTGTTGTCTTTGTCAGTTGAGCGTAAATATACGCATGCACCGTAAGCTAGCTCACTTGCATCGCAGAATCCATGTAACTGGATGTCATGTGCATTAGCTAATATAACTTGTCGCGTTACTTTAAATTGATTTAGCAAATGTAACTCGCCTTTGAAATTTATCCATTTTGTATGCAATTCCTGAGGTAATGATTCGTCCCAACTCAACTTAGCTTTCCATAGTCCTTGCATAATAAGTTTAGCTAGAGTAATTACGGGGCCTAATAAACCTAAGGGATCAAACAGTTGTGCTATTTGCGATAATATCGTACGCTTTGTCGTGCGTCTATCCTTAGCGAATGGGTTTATGGAGTATGTTATAAAATCCTCGGCTGAATCCCAGTGAATTCCTAACAACTTCCTAGATTGAGCATTTAAACAAATAGAGTTTGAATTATCCTCAATCTTTGTTTCACCAAGTAGTTCAGATTTGTTGGAGGCCCACTTATGAAGTTCAAATCCTCCACGTTTCAGTAACTGAATCAATTGTTGTTTTAATTCTAATGCGTCTTGAATAGTTTTTGCCCCCGAGAGCAGATCATCGACGTAAAAGTCATCCTTTAGACTTGATGCGGCTAAAGAAAATTCGTTACCTTCGTCATGCGCTAACTGATGTAAAGTTCTAGATGCAAGGAATGGCGCTGATGCTGTGCCTTGCGTGACTGTGTTTAACTCAAATGTACGAATTGGTTCATTTTCACATTCTCTCCACAAAATCCTTTGATATATTGCGTCCGAATTTTCAACTTCAATTTGTCTATACATTTTTTGCAAATCAGCTGTAATTACTACATTATGTAATCTAAATCGCATTATTATGAAAATTAGTTCACTTTGAATAGTAGGTCCGACCATCAATGCATCGTTCAATGAGACACCTGTCGAACTTTTAGCTGACGCATCAAAAACCACGCGAACCCTTGTGGATAAGCTATCCTCCTTGACCACTGAGTGATGAGGTATATAGTATCCTTCTTGTTTAACCTCGTATTGTGTAATGTCACGCATATGTCCTAACTCGCGATATTCCCTTAGGAACTCACTATACTGTTGTCTTAAGGTTACGTCTTATTTTGTGGTGGTGCGTGGGTATATATTAGGTTGGTGTGTGTTCTGATTGGTTGGACGTTGAAGGTGGTGGAAAAGAAGGTCTCGAAAAATGCGGAGGTGTGATTGGACATTAGGAAACTAGTGGAAGGAGAACGTGAGGGTGAGGGTGGTGTGCAAAAGTTGAAATAATTTAGGGAAAACCCGGAAAGGGGAAAGGGATAGGAAACCTGACCAGGGAGCGACTCGAACTATTTTATGATAGGGAAGGAATTTGTTAGGGGCTAGGAAGACGGTTGGAAAGGACTGTTTATTATTATATGATGTGTGACTGGCCGGTGGGCTGCGCGACCGGACAGCGTACAATATATCTCCCTTGTGAATCGCGTGTTGTGGTCTCTACGTAGAGAGTTTCGCATTTTATTTCTTCAATAGAACGATGTTTTTTATGCGGGACTTCCTCTATTTCCCAAAAACGAGTTAACTGATTCTCTAAAGATGTTATCAAATGACATGATTTACCGCGCGAACTATTTTGAGGTTTACAAACTTCTCCTACAACTATCCAACCCAACAATGTTTTTTGTAGTATAACGTCCGAAGAAGCTGAACGTCCGATTTGTCCATTATTTAATAGTTTGTAAAACAGTGTAGTCCCGATCGATTTCCGCTGGCTTATCGAACTCTGGATCTGCTAACTTAATATTATTTGGAATCAATAGTTCTTTACGATTGACGCGTCGCGATGGTAACATGCCTGTGATTTTCGGAAGTGCAACAAATTCTGCTTCTGCTTGAAAGTTATTATTTTTTGATTTTATTATTGTCCTTACTCGATATTCTGCACGCGTTGTGAGTTGACCTAACCCTGCAAACGGCAGCTCGATCTTTTCTTTATATAATTGAAGTTTTTGTGCTAAATTGTGCGAAATGAAATGACTTTGGGAACACCCATCTAATAAAACCCTGCATTCGTGTTCTTTATTGTGTATATCCAGAATTTTAACCCGAGCTGTCCTCAATAATACCTCGGAATCATACGTTACTGCATAGCCCTGTTTTACCTGATCGATAGAAATAGACGAATTCGAATCCCCTTTACTACCTGTTAAGGCGCGTTCACCTGGGGTCTATGCACTTTGTGCCACCTATGTATTGTTCTCGAAGGACCACCCAAGATTAAACGGCTTGGGACCGAGATGAATGTGAATTTGGTGGACACGTGGTTTTTATATTGTGAAAAATTGTATTTTACAGATGTTGATTGAGAGTGCTGAATGTGTGTATGTGTCGGTGAAAAACTTGTGTCGTTTGGTTTATCTATTCTGTCTTCTGGTTTCTATATGTTCCAATTTCTATATTTTAACTGTTCTGTGTTCTATCTTCTAGGTGTCTGTATTCTAAGTCTCTATGTTCTAAGTGTCTGTTGTAACTATCTCTCGTTTTTTCTCTGCTCACTGGTTTTAATACCTTGTGTTCTCCCTTCCATTACGCCCTTGGCGTGGTACCTTGAGGAAGGGGAACAGAGCCTCCTACACGTGCGTTCGGGGGTGGACGGCGACTTGGTAACTCTGGGGTATTTCCCAGAATTGCCATGTGGTGGCTAACTGCCGCTGAAACCGTGAGGTTTCGAGACCGAGTCACCCCTTGGTACCGCGACGATTTACGACGGGCCTTACTTGTAAATTAAGTTGCAAGGGTGTGACCGTGCTGATCAAAAAGGTCCCCTTTGTTTGTCACGTAGACAGACGAAGCCTTTCTGCAATTGCCCCGTCGTAAATCCATCTTGGCTGAAACTCTAACACTACCTTCTTCTACCCTCATTTGAGCATGGGATTCGGAGAAGTGCAATAAAGTATTATGTTTCCGGTGACAGAGTTTACAGCCAGGGGCATAGCATTTATTAGTGGGGTGATTGGTACGCAAACAATTAACACATAATCGGCTGTTTCTAGCTGCGTTTGATCGATCACGCGGATTTAATTTTAAGAATTTCTCGCATGTATAAATACTGTGAGTGCTACTGCAAAAATTGCATTCATTTCGAGAGTGAGTACCTATAAATGATTGAGTGCAATGACTCGATGATTTGCCCACTTCATTGGCATGTTTATCGAATTTAATCTGATTCTGATTTTCTATCGTACTATTACATATTTCCGAATCATCTCCTCGCTCTTGTTTGCTTAAGAATTCGACTAATTCCGTGAATTTCGGCATTTGCGTGTTTTCTAAGGTGCGTTCCCACGCTCGCCGCGTATTTTTATCAAGTTTACGTACTATGATATATGTTAAGATGGAGTTCCACATTTCCACGGGTTCCTTTAGCGCCTTTAGGGCATTGACATGCATTAATGCGGCCTCCTTTAATGCTCGTATATTGAGCGGAGATTCCCTTGTAATTTCTGGCAATTCTAGAATCGCTCTTATGTGTGTCTGAATTATTTGACGCGGCCTATCACAACGCTGTTTAAGTAAATCCCAAGCTACCTTGTAATTTTCTTCTGATGCAGTCAGTGGCTCAATTATTGTGGCTACACTACCGCGCAGAGAATTTTTTAACAAATAAAACTTCTGTACTGCAGGAATATTAACATCGTTATGTACTAATGACTGAAACGTGTCATGGAAGCTGTACCAATCTATGGGATTGCCGTCAAACGGACGGATTTCGATTTTAGGCAATAACGTGTTGCCGTGATTGATAGTGATATTTGAATTCCTAGTAGAACCCGAATGTGAAGACGGAGTACCTGGTTCAGAGGTTGTCTGATTAACTGACAGCGCGCGAAGCCGTTGATTTATAACCTTTGCGCACTTAAAATAGTGCTCCTCAAATCGAGACCTTTCCAATTCCTGATCTGATTCAAGCTGTGAGTCTTCGGCCAGTATCTCTATTTCTAACTGAGTTTTCAAAAAGGCTTGATAACTTTCCTCTAGTTTTGTTTTACGCGTTTCTATGTCATCGATGTCCACCTCCGCGCTTTCGCTGAAGTACCCGATTAACCGCGTTACATTCCCTTTGATAATTGCACGAGTTTTAATTAACGATCTAAGTTGTGTAGGGGCAGCCATTTTGTTCCTTTTAATTTGTCTTTAAAATAGAAGGCAGTCTTATGTGTATAGAAAGGCACTTAGAAAACTATACATTTTTTTGGTTTCTTTACAGCCGCAAAAATGGGAGGGGGAAGGGAAGGGAGGAGGAAGGGAAAGGGGAGTAGGAGTATATACTTGTTATTTTATGCTAGTTTGCTTTTTTTTTTTTTTATCCTCTAACTTAACATTACGTGTTTGTGCTAGTTCAGGAGAACTATGTTATGCTAAGAATGTAGTATTTTATGTGTACGTTGAACTAGTACGATTATACACACTCACTCTCGCGCATTCAAACACCCATTCATACACCCATTCATCCATAATCGCACGCCTATATGTTTGTACGTCCATAGGCTTATACATATGTATACATATTTACAAGTTACATATAGTATGAATGATACCGAGTTTAGGAAGAGAGAGAAATAGAAAATTAAATAAATAGAATACTAGCAATGATAGATAAGAGAGAAAAAGGAAAAAATAAACATACTCCCCGGCGGGGAATCGAACCCCGGTCTCCCGCGTGACAGGCGGGGATACTAACCCCTTTTTTTTTTTTTTTTGTAACATACGTTTATTGTGCCAGAATAAATACAACAATATATACAAAATAGGTACAACAAACCAAAACGTACAAAAGGATAAGTATGACTAAGGTACAACTTTGAGATCAAAGGCTCGCAGGTCGAGCTCTCGCGATCTTAACACTAACTTAATCTATCGCGCTTATCGCTTAATATAATACTTTTCCTTAAAGCTAACTTAATCTAGAAGGCAGTCTTATGTGTATAGAAAGGCACTTAGAAAACTATACATTTTTTTGGTTTCTTTACAGCCGCAAAAATGGGAGGGGGAAGGGAAGGGAGGAGGAAGGGAAAGGGGAGTAGGAGTATATACTTGTTATTTTATGCTAGTTTGCTTTTTTTTTTTTTTATCCTCTAACTTAACATTACGTGTTTGTGCTAGTTCAGGAGAACTATGTTATGCTAAGAATGTAGTATTTTATGTGTACGTTGAACTAGTACGATTATACACACTCACTCTCGCGCATTCAAACACCCATTCATACACCCATTCATCCATAATCGCACGCCTATATGTTTGTACGTCCATAGGCTTATACATATGTATACATATTTACAAGTTACATATAGTATGAATGATACCGAGTTTAGGAAGAGAGAGAAATAGAAAATTAAATAAATAGAATACTAGCAATGATAGATAAGAGAGAAAAAGGAAAAAATAAACATACTCCCCGGCGGGGAATCGAACCCCGGTCTCCCGCGTGACAGGCGGGGATACTAACCCCTTTTTTTTTTTTTTTTGTAACATACGTTTATTGTGCCAGAATAAATACAACAATATATACAAAATAGGTACAACAAACCAAAACGTACAAAAGGATAAGTATGACTAAGGTACAACTTTGAGATCAAAGGCTCGCAGGTCGAGCTCTCGCGATCTTAACACTAACTTAATCTATCGCGCTTATCGCTTAATATAATACTTTTCCTTAAAGCTAACTTAATCTAGAAGGCAGTCTTATGTGTATAGAAAGGCACTTAGAAAACTATACATTTTTTTGGTTTCTTTACAGCCGCAAAAATGGGAGGGGGAAGGGAAGGGAGGAGGAAGGGAAAGGGGAGTAGGAGTATATACTTGTTATTTTATGCTAGTTTGCTTTTTTTTTTTTTTATCCTCTAACTTAACATTACGTGTTTGTGCTAGTTCAGGAGAACTATGTTATGCTAAGAATGTAGTATTTTATGTGTACGTTGAACTAGTACGATTATACACACTCACTCTCGCGCATTCAAACACCCATTCATACACCCATTCATCCATAATCGCACGCCTATATGTTTGTACGTCCATAGGCTTATACATATGTATACATATTTACAAGTTACATATAGTATGAATGATACCGAGTTTAGGAAGAGAGAGAAATAGAAAATTAAATAAATAGAATACTAGCAGTGATAGATAAGAGAGAAACAGGAAAAAATAAACATACTCCCCGGCGGGGAATCGAACCCCGGTCTCCCGCGTGACAGGCGGGGATACTAACCACTATACTACCGAGGATTTGAACGGTAGTGTTTTTTATTAAGGCCTATTTGAATGAGATTTGTGTTTGTGTTTTGTGTTTGTTGTGTTAATGTAGTAACCACCAATATCTTTTTGTGTTGCGGCGGTGTGCGTCTGTTTTGTCGATTTTTGAGAGTTTACAACTAAGTCTTGTGTTTATGTCGTTGTCTTGTATGTCTGTTGAATACAGAATTTTTTTGTCGTCTGCTTTCCGTGTGGTATGGTAAATAAGTGGTGTGTTGTCTTTGTCCTGTATGTATCCTTCGCTGTCTAGATGAATAAATGCTTCGGGTGGGATGTAGCCGGTGTGTCGTGTTTTTTCGTGGTATTGTGTATTGGGATATATGGAGCTATTTATTAAACTATTGCTTTTCACGCTTCTAATGTTTGCCCAGTGGTTTCTGATAAGTTTTAGTATATGAAGATCTATTCTAATGATGTTGGCGAGTTCGTATAGTTTGTGGTTACTGATTAGTTTAGTGTAATTTGATTCAGGTGTCCTGTATTTACCTATGCAAGCTCTGAGGCATTTGCGTTCAAATATTCTAATTTTTTCCATCGTGCTTGCAGAGATGTTGAACCACGTGGGGCATGCGTATGTCAAAATGGGTCTAATTAGTGTTTTGTAGCAAATTATTTTTGTGTGTGTGTTCAGGTCTTTGCAGTAAAACAGTCGTTTGTGGCTAGCAAATGCTTTTTGTGCTTTTTCAATTTGTGTATTGATGTGATTGTAATAGTTTAGTTTGTAGTCTATGTGTACTCCTAAGTAGCGAACAGTGTTTCTGTTTTGAAGTTTAGTCTGTGGGTTGCGTGTGTCATGTAGGTGGAAGTGTTTTGTATGTCTGCGTACGTCTGCGTTTGCGTTCGAGATTTTAGATATGTACGGTCTGAACAGTATTGTTTCACATTTGTCTGTGTTAATCTTCAGCCTCCAGGTGTGAAAATAGTCCTGAATTTTTGTGAATATGTCTTGTAGTTGTGTTTTTATGTTTGACGGTTTACTGTCTTTAGTGTATATTAGTAGATCGTCTGCAAAAGCTATTGCAAATTTGTCGGTGTCGTTGTTGAGTCCGTACATGTTCAGTAAGTCGCTTATGAATATGCTAAACAGGATGGGCGAGTTGACCGTGCCTTGTTGGAGTCCGTTTTTAATTTGAAAAATTTCAGAGGAGGCGTATGATTTTTCCGCCACTCTGAATTTTTTTCCATGAAGCATGCTCCAGATCATTTT